GTGGCACGCCGCCACGGTTATGTTGTCTGGATCGGGTTGCACGTCGCAACAACATGATGTTGAGTACAGTTTTCTATATTCTAATTTTTGTGTGTTTTGTTTCCCATCTTTTGAGAAAAGTTCATATTAGTTGCGTGAGTTAAGTATTCCCTTCCAGAGTTCGTTTTCCTTATGTATCGCGTTCGAGTTGGTAGACTATTGGCAAATTATGCCATCATATGAGACTTTTGGTTAGGTCTGGGGTGGCTTATTGCCTGAGCAGTTCGTACTGGGTGAGACAAGATTATTGGATCTAAGATCAGTGCAATCGGATTATATGAAGCATATTAAAGGGCTAATACTATTATTTGGTTCAGAGTGAGGTAATGATTCTTGTCAGGAGTATAGACTCAATGAGTTATCGACTCAGCAGTTGGTTATGAGTTTCTACACGTCTCTTCCGCGGTATTGCAAGAGTTGGAACAGGACTTAAATATGTCATGGGGTGCATTGTGAGCATCAGATTCGGGAAATGTTGGTTATTATGATTAGAGAATGTTGTTATGGTCCTGTGAATGATGTGGTGCATGGTGAGAATTCAGCAAAGGTATGCAGTTATTCTGATACCTCGCGTAGTGATTGATACGGTGTGCATATATTGGAAGCAGGCCTGGCAGAGCATTTCAGATGTTGAAATTGGGCTCTGAGGCTCATATGCCTAGATAAAAAAGGATATCTTCAGATTTGATCTAGCTAACATGCTCAACTGAGTTGTGGTAGCACAGGTAGGTGTATGAGGTGTTAAACAGTGATTTCAGACAACTCCAGTGCAGTCCTCAGCACGTTCGAGGACGAACGTATGTTTAAGTGGGAGAAAATGTAACGACCCGACCGGTCATTTTGAGCTCTAGCGCATCGTTCGGCGCTTTGAGACCATGAGCAACTTCACTTCAGGTATTATGACTTGTACGCGTGGTCGAAATTGAATTCTGGGAATTTTGGAGTTGATTTGGAGAGAAAGTTCTCATTTCGAAAGCTTTAAGTTGGAAAAATTGACTTAGATTGAAATATTAAGTAAAAGACCTCAGAATCGGGATTTGAAGGTTTCCAACAGGTCCGTATGATGATATTGGACTTGGACGTATGTCCGGATCGAGTTTTGGGTGACCCAGGAGCATTTCAACGCCTATTGTGGAAGTTAGCATTTTTGGAAAAAATTCATAAATATGGGTTGAAGCGCATTTCAAAGTTATCGATGTCTGTTTGGGATTCCGAGTTTGGGAATAGCTTCGTATGGTGATTCTGGTATTGGGAGCGCGATCGAAAGTGAATTCGGAGGTCCGTAGGTCATTTTGGAGTCGTTTGGCTAAAATTAGAAATTTGAAAGTTTTTGAAAAGTTTGACCGGAAGTGGACTTTCTGATATCGGGGTCGGATTCCAATTTCGGAAGTTGGAGTAGGTTCGTAATGTCGAATATGACTTGTGTGCAAAATTTAAGGTCAATCGGACGTGATTTGATAGGTTTCGGCATCAAACGTAGAAGTTCGAAGTTTTAGAGTTCAAAAGGTGTGAATTGGGGTATGATTCATGATTTCGGCGTTGTTTGAGGTAATTTGAGGGCTCAACAAAGTTTGTAATGTGTTTTTGAACGCGCTGGTATAATTGGTTGAGGTCCCGAGGGCCTCGGGTGTGTTTCGGGATGGTTTCGGACCAAGTTTGGGTGTTTGGAAGCTTAAGTTTTCTGGTGTTCTTTTGCTGGTATTGCAGGTATCGCAAATGCGAGTATTGGTTCGCATTTCCGAACCTCGCATTTGCGAGAAAAGCTTCGCAATTGCAAAGAAGCCTAGCCTGGGCTTGGATTGCATTTGCAAGACAGGCAGTCGCATTTGCGAGCCTGACAGGGTTCGCATTTGCGAGTTCTTGGTCGCATTTGCGACCTAGGCAGTAGAAGCCTAGGGTTCGCATTTGCGATGATTGTGACGCATTTGCGAACCAGGTGTCGCAAATGCGACATCTGAGGCCTGTGCACAGCTATTAATTTCGAGACTTAGACCATTTAGCTTATTTCCTTTCATCTCTTGGGCGATTTTTGGAGCTTTTGGAAGAGGATTTTCACCTAGCACTTTGAGGTAAGTAATTTCTACACAATGAGTTTAATACATAAATTATGGCTAGATTAACATGTAAAAATTGGTGAAATTAAGGGTTTAGATGAAAAATCTAGGTTTTGGATAAAAATGAGATTTGACCACGAAAATGGTAATGAAATTTGGTAAAAATCATATATTTGACTTCATAAGGTTATGAGTAACTACTTTCTTTCCGAAATTCGGGCACGTGGGCCCGGGGGCAAATTTTAGGAATCTTACCTTTAGGGTTGGGTAATCACCTTAATAGTTGAAATATGAATTTTTGAGCATATATTGATTTGTCTATACACCATTTGAATAGTTTTGGATTGTTCGGCAACGATTTGGGGGTTTGAGCTCATTCTTGGACCGGAAAGTAAGCATTGAGACAAGGTGAGTCTCTCTTCTAACCTTGTAAGAGGGAATTGTCCCCATAGGTAAATTAATTGGATATGTGCTTCTATTTGTGGGGGCTACGTACGCACGAGGTGACGAGAGTCCGTGAGTAGCTACTATTATACTTAAGTCCGGGTAGTCTAGGACTCAAAAGCATGCTTTACTTGTAATACTTGAAACCTTGTTGTCCATTTAAAATGCTTAAAACATATCGAACGTGTAAATAAATTTCTAAAAGACTAGATATCGTTTCTTGATTTTTTTTTTTTTAAAAAAAAAAAAAGAGAAATTGCCTTTTCTTGGATAACTGCTCCTCGATGAATTCTTGATTGACTGTTTGAATGTGTTTATATATTTTGGAACGGGCCGAACGCCTCGGTAGATTAAATAGATGCATCTATGGTTCGCGTCATTCGACCCTCTGGCAGTGCACAGTTTAAATATTATTGCATCGGGCCGTTCGACCTCGGCATGATTTGCGCATGCATGTATTGCTTGCCTTGAAATTCATAGATGTTGATATTTGTTCTCCCTGGCCTGAGATAAATGTATAAATGATGAAAATAAATTTGAAAATTTCCTATAAACGAAAGAATTGTTTACTTGCCTCATGCTACTGAGTTATATCCATTTTTATGAAAATCCTCGATTTACTATATTATTGGAATATGATTATTGGACCACTAGTAAGTGTCGAAGTCGACCTCTCGTCTATACTTCTTCGAGATTAGACGGGATACTTACTGAGTACACGTTGTTTTTGTACTCATGCTACACTGTTGTGCATTTTTGTTGCACAGGCACATGTACCTCTAGCGGCCTAATGGGCGTAGCAGCATAGATGATACGGAGACTTAGGTGAGCTGCATCTCTCGAGGTGACCTGCAGCCGGCATAGTCTCTTTCAATGTATAGTATTTACCTTCTGTCCAATTTGTATTCCAGACAGTTATTGTACTTCATTTGATTTCTTAGAAATAGCTCATGCACTTGTGACACCGGGTTCTGGGATGATTATGGGATTATCCAATATTAAGTTTGTTAAAGACATCATCTTATTTCAGTGAATTCATTATTTATTGTTTTATGTATAAAAGAAAAGATTTCAATAATTACTAAAATGAAAATTTAATTAACTTCTTGGTGTTAGCTTGCCTGACAGTGGTGTCCGGCGCCATCACGACCCTAAGTGGATTTTAGGTCATTGCAATATGGTATCAGAGCACTAGGTTCCCTTAGATCTCACGAGTCATGAGCGAGTCTAGTAGAGTCTTGCAGATCGGTACGGAGACGTCTGTACTTATCTTCGAGAGGCTACAGAGCTGTTAGCAGCACTTCCCTTCTTAATTTCCTCATCGTGCGATTTGATCCCTTTGAGGCTTGTGCCTTCGTTTCCTTCCTACTCAATCTTATGCGACGCGAAGCGCTTATTATAAATCAGGAATTGAGAAAATTTTCAAATGAATCCAAGTCAGCATTAGTTGGTTTATTCTATTCAAATGAATCCAAGTCAGCATTAGTTGGTTATGCAGATGCAGGATATTTATTTGATCCATATAAAGCTCGATCTCAGACAGGCTACTTGTTTACATGTGGAGGTACAGCCATATCATGGCGTTCAACGAAACAGACTACGGTTGCTACTTCTTCAAATCATAATAGCCATTCATGAAGCAAGTCGAGAATGCGTTTGGTTGAGATCAATAACTCAACACATTCAGGAAACATGTGGTCTTTCTTTGAAAGAAAATATTCCAACTACATTGTATGAAGACAATGATGCATGTATAGCTCAACTGAAAGGTGGATATATTAAAGGAGACAGAACAAACATATTTCACAAAAATTCTTCTTCACTCATGATCTTCAAAAGAATGGTGAAATAGATATTCAACAAGTTCGTTCAAGTGATAATTTAGCAGATCTGTTTACTATGGCATTGCCAACCTCAACATTTGAGAAGTTAATATACAAGATTAGAATGCGGTGTCTCCGAGACCTTATGTGATATTTTAATCAGGGGGAATAAAAATACGCGATGTATTCTTTTTCTCTTAACTAAGGTTTTATCCCATTGGGTTTCCTTGGTAAGGTTTTTAATGAGGCAGCAAGTAATGTGTATTGCAAATAACTATGTATTTTCCATGATTTTTCCTATTAAGCTCTTAATAATGTATTTCTTTTACATGGTCATCCAATGGGGAGTGTTGTAAATAATATGTGGATGAAGTCCATGTATGAATAGTTTGTGGGTGGAGTTTCATTCCTTACACTATTTTACTATAGTAGTGTTTACTTTTTATGCCTATAAAAGGCTATGTAAATGGCAGTGTACAACGCACCAAAAAGAAGTGAAATACTCCTTCTTCCTATTTTTGTTTCTTATTTACATTTTACTAAGTCACTTATTTTATAACAATGATCCTTTTTTTTTTTTACAATTTAAGGTGACACCTACTATTTTTAGAGCGAAAAAAATTAAAATTACATTATTGTACTTTCTATTTTATTTTCCAAAAAGAAATATTGTCCCTAACCTGTGTTCACCAAAGCCAACCCTTTCCTTTACCTGTGCACATAATTCCCACCAAAAAGGATTAAGTTAAACAGAAAAAGAAAAAAATTGCCCGTGGGCCGACCTTATTTCAGCCGTCGCTCGCTGCTCATATTAGCTTCGATTAGCGGCAAAAATAGGCGTTTCTGAAGCAAAGTTATGATAAGCAGGAATGTTTAAAATTTAGTTAGCTTCCCAAGCTCTGTCCAAAATTCGTTAGCGAAACTCTATCTCTACATTCAGTTTTAGGGTTCAGTCAAACTAGGGTTTGAACCTTGAACCAAACGGAGATGTCGAAGAGAAAATTCGGATTCGAAGGATTTGGAATAAATAAGCAAACGACGTATAACTTCGAGCGAAATCAAGCTCCTCAGCGACTGTACGTCCCGCCGTCGTCACGCTCCGGCGGTAGCCACGACAATTACGAAGACACCGACTTAGATAACATCGAGTACGAAGAACACGATGCGGTCGGAGAGGACAACAAAAATGATGGTGGAGGAGGAGGCGGCGGCGGCGCCGAAGATGATGAGATTGATCCGCTCGATGCATTTATGGAAGGGATTCATGAGGAAATGAAGGCGGCGCCGCCTCCGAAGCCGAAGGAGAAGCTGGATAAGTATAAGGATGATGTAGAGGATGATCCGATGGAGAGTTTTTTGAGAGCGAAGAAGGATGTAGGGTTACAATTGGCTGCTGAAGCTCTTAACGCTGGTTATAATTCGGACGAGGAGGTTTATGCTGCGGCGAAGGCTGTTGATGCAGGATTGGTTGAGTATGACTCGGATGACAATCCTATTGTTGTTGATAAAAAGAAGATTGAACCTATTCCTGCTTTGGAACATAGTGAGATCGACTATGAGGCTTTCAACAAGGACTTTTACGAGGAAAAGCCTTCTATTTCAGGTACACTGAGCTTTGCTTGTTGGTTCCTCCTCTTGATGTTAGTCTTGAGGTTAACTTATGGCCCACAATTTAACTCCATTCTTCAGTTGGTTAGAAATAAGATAATGTGCACTAATGAGACAAATTAAGAAGGAAGAAATGGGTTAATAAAGGCAAATTCAGGGTTTTATGTTATGGATGCTGGGTACTACTAGACCAGATGTGCGACACTTGTATAATTATTAGATTTTTCTTGTTTAATTGTGCGTATAGCAGTTCAAGCAGGAGACTCTGTGTCGGGCTGCACCAGCTGCCCTCATGTTACATCTGCTTATGGAGAAAGTAGAGCTACTAAGTTTTGTTTTATGAGGCCTGCCTCATGATCTTACAGTCCTGGTGGTCTTTTAGAGCTTGTTATAAATAGTGGCTTCTAGTTTGTCATGTAAGAAGTACGGGCAGTGGATGAAGATATAACGTTTCTAGTTTCTTTTGGTGCGAGATGTACTTTTCAGTTTGCTCCTGGAGCTTTGGTCTAGTAGTAAGCTCAGCGCATGATGTGTGGGTTAGGCCCACGTCACCGGTTAGAAACATGCGCAGACCAAAGCCTGATATTTAAGTGGAAAAAGGTAGAGGGAGGGCCTATTAGTCACTGACTTCCAAACTCTGAGCTAATCCTTAACGTATCCCTGGTCCTTAGTTTAAACTTTAAAATGATGCATCCATTTTAGAATTTTGGGTTGGAGGCATGATATTGTAATTTGATTATGGGGTTGGAGCTGATTCCCAGTTCAGATTATATTTATTGTTTCACCTTGTATTCGTGTGCATATATGAAATAGAGGAAGTCCTTTTTGCTCAGAGGCTAGGAAAGGCAGAGAGAATCCCTAATAGAACATCTGAAGTACAACTTGAGTGTCAGGTTTACTTATTGTTTAGTACAGTCAATGAGGAGCTTAAGCTCATCCAGTTGTTGCATGTAGCCATTATTGTTTTGCTAGTTCTTCTTTGGATTTTGCACGTTATCTGTAATGCTATTTCCCTTCAGCCAAGTTAACTCTTTTCTCTATGTAGGTATGAGCGATCCGGAAGTTAATGAATATAGGTCAAGCTTGGCAATTCGTGTATCAGGCTTTGATGTTCCAAGGCCTGTTAAGACATTTGAAGACTGTGGTCTTTCTGTTGAGTTGATGAAAGCTATCAGTAAACAGGGATATGAAAAGCCTACACCAATACAGTGTCAAGCATTGCCAATTGTGCTCTCTGGGAGAGATATTATTGGCATTGCTAAAACTGGGTCCGGCAAGACTGCTGCTTTTGTGCTTCCTATGATTGTCCACATTATGGATCAGCCTGAACTTCAGAAAGAAGAAGGTCCCATTGGAGTTATTTGTGCACCTACTAGGGAATTAGCACATCAAATATTTGTGGAGGCAAAGAAATTTTCTAAATCGCATGGTATCCGTGTCTCTGCAGTTTATGGAGGAATGTCTAAGTTGGATCAATACAAAGAACTAAAGGCAGGATGTGAGATTGTTGTTGCTACTCCAGGGAGGTTGATAGATATGCTTAGAAAGAAGGCATTTACAATGTTGAGGGCAACTTACCTAGTACTTGATGAGGCTGATCGGATGTTTGACCTTGGTTTTGAGCCTCAGATAAGGTCCATTGTCGGTCAAATTAGACCTGATCGTCAAACATTGCTCTTTTCAGCAACTATGCCTCGCAAAGTTGAAAAGCTTGCCAGAGAAACATTGACAGATCCTATAAGAGTTACCGTGGGAGAGATTGGCATGGCTAATGAGGATATTACACAATTAGTTCAAGTGATTCCTTCGGATGCTGAAAAATTGCCTTGGCTTTTGGAAAAGCTCCCTGTACTGATCGACAATGGTGATGTTCTTGTCTTTGCTTCGAAAAAGGCAACAGTGGATGAGATTGAATCTCAACTGGCTCAAAAGGGGTTCAGAGTTGCAGCTCTCCATGGTGACAAGGATCAAGTTTCTCGTATGGAGACACTGCAAAAGTTTAAATCTGGCGTATATCATGTTCTTATCGCAACTGATGTTGCTGCCCGTGGTCTTGACATCAAATCAATTAAGTCAGTGGTGAACTATGACATAGCTAAAGACATGGACATGCATGTTCACAGAATTGGGAGAACAGGTCGTGCTGGTGACAAAGATGGGACAGCCTACACTCTCATTACACAGAAGGAAGCGCGTTTTGCTGGTGAACTGGTGAACAGTTTGGTTGCTGCCGGTCAAACTGTTTCCATCGAACTAATGGACCTTGCTATGAAGGTACTTATATGTATTTCTTTTTATGTTTCCTTGAAATGAATGGGCTTAGCATCCTATTTTTTTTTTGTTCCACCTCTTAAATTTGACTAAGTGCGTCACATACATGACATTCACTGCCACTGTTAAAATGTGTGTTCGATTTTATCGTAAGTCCCAATAGCAGCAAACATGCAAAGGGCTCCCTATGTGCAAGTTTTCTTAAAGTTGCTGCCTCCAAATCCTCTCCCCTCTAAAGGGACGGACAAACCAAGAAAACAGGAAGCATTTTTCTTTTGAAGTCAAAATCTATAATGGCATCCCTTTCGGAGATTCTCTTTACTAAGAGAAACTATGATACATAGAATAGAGAAGCTTTTATGGTGCCTGATAGGAAATATGAGACCATGGATGCTATGTTGTTATAGAAGTTGACGCAGGACATTATCAAACTATCTCCAACGGCCTCTTGTTTATCCTCTTGGTGTGTTGCTTGTACCCTTTGACTAATATGGTAATTTTCTTATAGGAAATGAGGTAATCTTGTCCAGTCTTATATGACATCTTATTCGTCTTAGCATCCACATTCTTGCTACGCATGTTTTTCGATGCGTAATATTCACTCCCATATAAAGGTGCTGACCTTGCAACTGTTGTATAAAACTTTCCTCTATTCAGAGGGTATCTTTCTATCACATATCAAATGGGTATAACTTAACTAATTCAACCATACTATTTTGACTTTGTCTACACCCTCATCTATCATACCATTCTCTCGGAGCATCGAGCCTATACATCTGCATTGCTTACATTTAGACACCTCAATTCTGTCTGATTTCACTCCAACTTCGTTGTTTATATGCTAGCTAAACATGCAGTGCATTATTTCAGAAAATATATTGTCATTTGCTGCTCCCCGTTTTGTGCTTTTTGGGTTGTTGCTTAAAATACTCAGATCTCTTTCTGTTTGCATGATTGGATTTATTGTGTGTAAACTCTTAGGATGGGAGGTTCCGGTCCAAAAGGGATGCAAGGAAAGGAGGTATGGATTTATTCCTGTTGTTGGTCTTACTGAAGATTTTCCCCAAATAATTATGCATTTATGGGCACTGACTATATTCCATGTAGTAACTGTTGGGGATTGTGTTCTGCTGATCGAAACCCCCC